TCGTAAGCCCATAACTCAACTTATCTTAATCGGATTTTGAAGTGGCATACCTCTAAATATTTCTGGAGCAATTCTCTAAAAATCTACATTTAAATTTGAAAATTTTTTTTTTTAATTTTTTTGTAAATTTTCTGATGGTAAGATGTTGAGATATTAAAAAATGTCCCATGGCTGAAGTTCGTAAGCCCATAACTCAACTTATCTTAATCGGATTTTGAAGTGGCATACCTCTAAATATTTCTGGAGCAATTCTCTAAAAATCTACATTTAAATTTGAAAATTTTTTTTTTTAATTTTTTTGTAAATTTTCTGATGGTAAGATGTTGAGATATTAAAAAATGTCCCATGGCTGAAGTTCGTAAGTCCATAACTCAACTTATCTTAATCGGATTTTGAAGTGGCATACCTCTAAATATTTGTGGAGCAATTCTCTAAAAATCTGCATTTAAATTTGAACATTTTTTTTTTTTTAATTTTTTTGTAAATTTTCTGATGGTAAGATGTTGAGATATTCAAAAATGTCCCATGCCTGAAGTTCGTAAGTCCATAACTCAACTTATCTTAATCGGATTTTGAAGTGGCATACCTCTAAATATTTCTGGAGCAATTCTCTAAAAATTTGCATTTAAATTTGAAAAATTTTTTTTTTTTTAATTTTTTTGTAAATTTTCTAATGGGAAGATGTCGAGATATTCAAAAATGTCCCATGGCTGAAGTTCGTAAGCCCATAACTCAACTTATCTTAATCGGATTTTGAAGTGGCATACATCTAAATATTTCTGGAGCAATTCTCTAAAAATCTGCATTTAAATTTGGAAATTTTTTTTTTTTAATTTTTTTGTAAATTTTCTAATGGTAAGATTTTGAGATATTCAAAAATGTCCCATGGCTGAAGTTCGTAAGTCCATAACTCAACTTATCTTAATCGGATTTTGAAGTGGCATACCTCTAAATATTTCTGGAGCAATTCTCTAAAAATTTGCATTTAAATTTGAAAATTTTTTTTTTTTATTTTTTTTTGTAAATTTTCTAATGGTAAGATGTCGAGATATTCAAAAATGTCCCATGGCTGAAGTTCGTAAGCCCATAACTCAACTTATCTTAATCGGATTTTGAAGTGGCATACCTCTAAATATTTCTGGAGCAATTCTCTAAAAATCTACATTTAAATTTGAAAATTTTTTTTTTTAATTTTTTTGTAAATTTTCTGATGGTAAGATGTTGAGATATTCAAAAATGTCCCATAGCTGAAGTTCGTAAGTCCATAACTCAACTTATCTTAATCGGATTTTGAAGTGGCATACCTCTAAATATTTGTGGAGCAATTATCTAAAAATCTGCATTTAAATTTGGAAATTTTTTTTTTTTAATTTTTTTGTAAATTTTCTGATGGTAAGATGTTGAGATATTCAAAAATGTCCCATGGCTGAAGTTCGTAAGTCCATAACTCAACTTATCTTAATCGGATTTTGAAGTGGCATACCTCTAAATATTTCTGGAGCAATTCTCTAAAAATCTGCATTTAAATTTGGAAATTTTTTTTTTTTAATTTTTTTGTAAATTTTCTGATGGTAAGATGTTGAGATATTCAAAAATGTCCCATGGCTGAAGTTCGTAAGTCCATAACTCAACTTATCTTTATCGGATTTTGAAGTGGCATACCTCTAAATATTTCTGGAGCAATTCTCTAAAAATTTGCATTTAAATTTGAAAAATTTTTTTTTTTTAATTTTTTTGTAAATTTTCTAATGGTAAGATGTCGAGATATTCAAAAATGTCCCATGGCTGAAGTTCGTAAGCCCATAACTCAACTTATCTTAATCGGATTTTGAAGTGGCATACATCTAAATATTTCTGGAGCAATTCTCTAAAAATCTGCATTTAAATTTGGAAATTTTTTTTTTTTTAATTTTTTTGTAAATTTTCTAATGGTAAGATTTTGAGATATTCAAAAATGTCCCATGGCTGAAGTTCGTAAGTCCATAACTCAACTTATCTTAATCGGATTTTGAAGTGGCATACCTCTAAATATTTCTGGAGCAATTCTCTAAAAATCTGCATTTAAATTTGAAAATTTTTTTTTTTCTAATTTTTTTGTAAATTTTCTGATGGTAAGATGTTGAGATATTCAAAAATGTCCCATGGCTGAAGTTCGTAAGTCCATAACTCAACTTATCTTAATCGGATTTTAAAGTGGCATACCTCTAAATATTTGTGGAGCAATTCTCTAAAAATCTGCATTTAAATTTGAACATTTTTTTTTTTTTAATTTTTTTGTAAATTTTCTGATGGTAAGATGTCGAGATATTCAAAAATGTCCCATGGCTGAAGTTCGTAAGTCCATAACTCAACTTATCTTAATCGGATTTTGAAATGGCATATCTCTAAATATTTCTGGAGCAATTCTCTAAAAACCTGCATTTAAATTTGGAAATTTTTTTTTTTTTAATTTTTTTGTAAATTTTCTGATGGTAAGATGTTGAGATATTCAAAAATGTCACATGGCTGAAGTTCGTAAGTCCATAACTTAACTTATCTTAATCGGATTTTAAAGTGGCATACCTCTAAATATTTCTGGAGCAATTCTCTAAAAACCTGCATTTAAATTTGAACATTTTTTTTTTTTAAATTTTTTTGTAAATTTTCTGATGGTAAGATGTCGAGATATTCAAAAATGTCCCATGGCTGAAGTTCGTAAGTCCATAACTCAACTTATCTTAATCGGATTTTGAAGTGGCATACCTCTAAATATTTCTGGAGCAATTCTCTAAAAATCTGCATTTAAATTTGGAAATTTTTTTTTTTTTAATTTTTTTGTAAATTTTTTGATGGTAAGATGTTGAGATATTCAAAAATGTCCCATGGCTAAAGTTCGTAAGCACATAACTCATCTTATCTTAATCGGATTTTGAAGTGGCATACCTCTAAATATTTGTGGAGCAATTCTCTAAAAATCTGCATTTAAATTTGAAATTTTTTTTTTTTTTTTAATTTTTTTGTAAATTTTCTGATGGTAAGATGTCGAGATATTCAAAAATGTCCCATGGCTGAAGTTCGTAAGTCCATAACTCAACTTATCTTAATCGGATTTTGAAGTGGCATACCTCTAAATATTTCTGGAGCAATTCTCTAAAAACCTGCATTTAAATTTGAACATTTTTTTTTTTTAATTTTTTTGTAAATTTTCTGATGGTAAGATGTCGAGATATTCAAAAATGTCCCATGGCTGAAGTTCGTAAGTCCATAACTCAACTTATCTTAATCGGATTTTGAAGTGGCATACCTCTAAATATTTCTGGAGCAATTCTCTAAAAATCTGCATTTAAATTTGAAATTTTTTTTTTTTTTAAATTTTTTGTTAATTTTCTGATGGTATGATGTTGAGATATTCAAAAATGTCCCATGGCTAAAGTTCGTAAGCCCATAACTCATCTTATCTTAATCGGATTTTGAAGTGGCATACCTCTAAATATTTCTGGAGCAATTCTCTAAAAATCTGCATTTAAATTTGGAAATTTTTTTTTTTTTAATTTTTTTGTAAATTTTTTGATGGTAAGATGTTGAGATATTCAAAAATGTCCCATGGCTAAAGTTCGTAAGCACATAACTCATCTTATCTTAATCGGATTTTGAAGTGGCATACCTCTAAATATTTGTGGAGCAATTCTCTAAAAATCTGCATTTAAATTTGAAATTTTTTTTTTTTTTTAAATTTTTTGTAAATTTTCTGATGGTAAGATGTCGAGATATTCAAAAATGTCCCATGGCTGAAGTTCGTAAGTCCATAACTCAACTTATCTTAATCGGATTTTGAAGTGGCATACCTCTAAATATTTCTGGAGCAATTCTCTAAAAATCTGCATTCAAATTTGGAATTTTATTTTTTCTAAATTTTTTTGTAATTTTTTTGATGTTATGATATTGTAGAAATTAAAAAAATATAAAAAATGTCCCAAGACTGATGTTTATAAGTTTATAATTCAAGGTTTCTTAATGGAGTTTTGAAGTGGCATACCTGTAAAAGTTTTCGGAGCAATTCTCTAAAAAAATTTAGAATTTTATTTTTTAATGAGATTTCATACCCCTGGGCCATCTCTGTTTTAATGCGTCTACATAATAGCGTTCACCGGCTTCCATCTGGCTGCATGTTGCTGGATTCTTTCTTTCCGCCTCTGAATTTGGGGTGGGCCTGGCCAAGATGCTGTGCGAGCGTTTCCTGCATCCTGTCGTTTCCTGTGCCCACCAGACCAGCGATCCGCCCCCGAGCCACCATCACCACCATCCAGCTGCTCCTGCCTTTGCTTTTGCTTCTGCCAGTGCTGCGGTGGCCATTATTTCCTGTATTTAATTGCACTACTCTCGGCTGCGGTTTTCTGCTACATTTGTTGCCGCCTGCAGCCGACCAAGGACTATAATGTACTTTGGCTAACCATCCGGGCAGTGCAGTCCTTTCGGGTCCCAGGACCTCACCCATTTACTTCTTCTTTCCTTTTTGCGCTGATTGTCGTTTGCCGGCTCCATCTTTGTGACGTATTTGTTGGTCACTTTGCAGAGGCAGTCATCAAATGATTTATACTTTAATAAGCGTGCTCGGGACACGCAGAGAAATTAGATGTGGCCACAGGAGCCGCCATCCCACCCACCTCCTCTGCACCGCCATCGTCCTGATGACATTTTTCTTTGGCGCTCGCAAAAGGAATTTGCGCAATTTATGAGAGGCAGGCGGGCTGAAGAAATGCCAAAGCGGCATTCGAGAAATTAATAAGGAAGTTGGAGGCAATGGGGAGCACGAGGCGTTTGGCTCCTCGAAGGTATTTCCGGTATTTGTGCCATTAAGGCAAACGAAAGGCAGCGAAAGGTGACAAAAATGCGCGAAAACTCAGACCCCGCGATTTTTAAGGGGTTAACAGGTTGAGCTAAGCCTTAGCATTGGATTTTAAAAATCATGTATTTAAACATTTTTTCTTGAAGGGTAGATTGATATATTTTAGGAATTCACAGTCCGTCGGTTTACTTCTTCAGCAGCAAGGGAGCGGCAGCGGCGGCCACATAGGGAGAGCTGTAGGCCAGGGGCGAGGTGTAGGCGGCGGCATAGGGCGTGGCAAGTCGGGTGTAAGGAGCAGCGATGGGAGCGGTATAGGCGGCGGCAACTGGGGCGGTATAGGCGGCGGCAACTGGAGCGGTGTAGGCGGCGGCAACTGGAGCGGTGTAGGCGGCGGTGTAGGCAGCTGGGAAGGCGGCGCTGTGGGCCACCGAGTGGGCGGAGTAGCTGGAGGCGTAGGGAGCCACGTAGGCGGCACTGCCCACCACAGCCGGAGCGGTGTAAGCCAGAGGAGCGGCGGCCAGAGGAGCCAAAACTCCGGGCTTGGCAGCAGCCACGGCCACAACAGCGAAGAAGCAGACGGCGAACTGTGAATGGAAGTACTCCTTAATAATTAAGTCCTTTAAATCCTTTAGGTGATCAATGGACTTACGAATTTCATGATTGTTGAATGGGGTTTTGTTTGGTAGCAGTGACTACTTGGAGCTGTGAGCTTGGTTTGATACTGACTCAACCAAGCTGGCCAGTTTATATACACCTCACTTGGCCATCTGGAGAAGGCCGCGCTTACACATGCAGCTGTCGTCGTCGACATCGCAGCACAAAGTCTTTGACTCCGATCCGAGTTACTTGCCAATTGAAGACGTTGTTGCTCCACACACTAACTGGTCACGTGCGGGCCAAATTCGTAAAGGGCATTGCCGGGTTTCCTAGACCTGAGCGACCTTCAGCGAAATCGATTTCAGTTACTCCATTTCAAGTCAAAATTCTTGCACTGTCCAGCTTGAAACAGAAAATTCGTTGGTGTTAAAAAGAAGGTTTATAATGGATATCAAAAACTATGGAATCTGTAAGTGTCGGATAACAGAATTGTTTCTATAATATTTGTAACATTTTCGATCAACCGTTCGTTCTCCGCCTATCACAAAATTCCAACTAAAAATTCTTAAAAAAAATTTCAATTGAAATTTCAAAAACCCACAAAAAGCGTCCCAGTATGAGCGATTTGAGCGAGTTCGCCCTGGACCGCCACTTTGCCTCCCAGCTGCGCAACCTGCAGTCCTATTCTAAGGAGCACCCTGTCAGCCAAGAGGACCACGACATTAGCCAGCGCTGGATGCAACAATTCCAAGAAGCCAAGGGTCTGGATAAATTCGCCCGCAACTGCATGCTGCTGATGATGTTCAACCAGTTGCGAGATATTGGTCACTTAAGTAAACCCTTCACCGAACTGGCGAACTTGAGCCGCTCCATGGACGATTTGCTGAACGAGTACAATGGGACGACGGCGGTGGAGGAGGAGCAGCAGCAGCAGCCGCCGCCGGCGGTTGATGATGTGCAGGACGCGGAAACCAATGTCTCGAACTATGGGAGTAGTCGTCTCTCGCAAGAGATGACCCCAATGCATCCCATTTCCATTCCCGAATTCGAGAGCATTAAGCTAGCTAACCAGGATCTGCTAAAGGAAATCGACTCACTGCACAGTCGCACGGTGGAAACGGAAAAGCTATTCATCAGCAAGAACCAAGTTCTGGAGAGGCAGATGGTCGGAAAGTCGGTGGTGCCCAAATCGGAACTTGTTCAGGAGAATATCTATCAAGCCTGCCGTGCGGCCATTGATCTTCTAAAGAATTGGCAGGGCGAGTCAGAGCGACTCAATTTTCTGGCCACCTGCCTGGAGCCCATTCTCCGGAATGATGTGCCCACCAGTTTGCAGATCTCCGAGTTGGATATCAGCTTGGAGAATACTCTGAATGGCATGGTGACACAGGCCTGCTCACGAAGGGACGACAATGTGCGCATGCTGTATGACCACATTTTGAGGCACGACAAGAACGACTTGAAGGAAAAGAAGGACAAGCTGCGCCGATTGCAGGACTCCATGAGGCTAGAGCGCCAAAGATTGCTAGTTCTAGCCGAGGACTTAAAACGCCGGGAGGACTTGATTTGGAGGCACCAGGCCCTCGCCACGATCGCAATTACAGGACTTTCCTCCGAGGAGCAACGCAGTCCCAGTGACTCAAAGTGTAAGTCGTGTTCGAAAGAAAAATCCGTCGGAAAAGGACTTCTGGATCCCTTCAGCAGGAGCAGCAATGTTGTAACAGCCAAAAGTGTCGTAGATCTGGAAAAATTATCCGACGAACTGAGCGATCTGTCCATAGACAAATGGTAATCCTCTTGCGAAAACCGCTGCCAAGCACACGTTTTTATATATTTCTTTATTTTCTTGTTGGCATCAATAAATTGTTGAGTTGCTTTTAAAACTTCTGGCCGCCTCTCACTTTTCACCGCCTGCGCCCCTGTCAACTGCAAAACTTTTAATGTAGTTTTAATTTTCTCGTAATCACGAAGGGAACTTGGCTGTAGTCCTGGAAAGTCGGCAATCATCTACGCACTTACACGGCGAAGAAAGTTTTGTTTGAAAAACATCAGTGCTTATGACTTCATATAATAAGGGTCAAATACTATTGCTGGTCTTAAAGACTTTGGAGAACCAGTTACAGAATTTCAACTTAAATTTAAAAAAATTATTTTAAAGTGATTTATAAATTAATAGATTTGTAATATCCACTGGTAGAAATCGGTCAATTGTGTAATTGCAAATTCTAAGCACAAACTAGGACAACTAAGTCAGCCAACTTCCATCTTTCATTTTACTCAGTGTAGTGTCCATTTCTTCATCCTGCGAGGATGGGAAAAGAAAACGCCGTCAGAAACAACAAAATTGGAAGAGCAGCAACAGCTTTGTTCGTAATTAGTTTTTAAGCGCTTCGAAAGAGTATGTGGTGGCGGATATATATATCCTAAGTGGGCCCAAATAGAGTGTGTGCGTGTGTGGGTGTGATGGGGCCATGGTTATGACAACATGCAGTTAAGCACTTCTTAACGATGGCTGACTGCCGATAATGGCCTTTTGCCAAAGCAAGTGCAATTGATTTTCTTGGCAGCGAACATAAATTTCTAAGAAATAAATTGTTGTTAATGCAATCGTTTTATGCAGTATTTGTTCTGTTAGTAGGTCATTTGAATCATTTGAATTTTAAATTCACTATTTAATACAAAATTGCAAGCCTGTGTATGATTTTTAATTTTCATATTTCCCAAATTAAAACTTTTAAAAGCGAAACATCTCAAAAGCAAAGAACATTATAGCGCCTTAAAAAAGCGTATAAATTTCGAAAATTTGATAAAGCCAACATTGCTCGCCATGCGTACGCTTAAGAACATACATACATAATAGTTTTTCTTCGCCGCAGCTCCAAAACTCTGCCATTTATTTTCCAAAAAGCCAGGAAAAAGTTGCAAGCAGTCGAGAAAAAGTTGTCAAAGAAAATGCAGTGCCTCTGCAATCACCCAAACTTTCTGCCAGTCCATCTTTCCCGACTGCATCCTGACAATAGCTCAAAATATGTAGCGCCAACTGTCGAAGCAGCCGGAACAGAGGGGACAAAATGTAAGTGTGCGAGAAAGTTTCCGCATGGCTTTAATGATGCGTACAGACAAGCCAAAGTTTGGTTGGCCAAAATGGGGAAAATGGAGAAAAATTTGAGGAAGTGACGGAAGTCGAGCGCTTACATTAGTGGCATAAAATTAACGACAAATTTCGTGGGCTTATGCGGATGCACTGTTCCGTGGCGGACAATTTCCTGCCAGCTAGAGCGAACTTCGCCAACAACTAAGGCCAGAAGTAAGGGAATATTTGTATAAAACTAAGGCCAGAAGGAATACAGCATCTGTGACCGCCGCTAAGAGCTGCATTTTTGCAGCACTAAAACGACTCCAGCAGTACCATTATGGCGGAATGTGTATTGCCCACTGGAGGTGCCACTGGAGTGCAATAGTGTAGCTGCTGTTGCCGGCGGTGTTTATCACTTGCAGCTAACAACTCCGACGGCGCTTAATGGCTTCCTGCCCGGACAGTTTGCATCTGGGCGGGGCATAACACTTCGGGGACTCCCATTCCGGGCTCGTAATACGACCCATCTGCAGCCCAACCATTCCTTAATAAGTTACATCTGTACATTTGCGTTGATTGCGTTGTACTTATTTTCTCGTATATATTTACACTTGGTTAGTCTCGCGGGGAAACTCTTTACCGGCGCAATGATGTCGCTTGGCAAACGTTTCGCCCACAATCAATGGAAAGACCAAGCTAGCCTCGGCATAGACCTTAACTGGGGTTGCATCCTTTCTGATCTTTCCCCAGGATATGGCCTCATCCGGCCGAGCGCCACTGTCGCTGCCGTCAAACTCCGAGGCGGTATTGATGAACACGGAGTAATCCGCTCCATTCCGCATCAAATTGGCATTACAAATGTGATGCTTGATGACGCCGCCGCCTACGATGATCATCCCGCTGTTGACCGCCTTAACAGCCATGGTGTTCAACCGCCGCAGATCTGATAGAATGTCCACCACGAGTCCAGGTTGTCGAAAGGAGTGGAAGTACATCATGTCGCCCAGACTGCCATCCGTCAAGGCGGGACAAAAGACTGGTATTTCATTCTTGGCTGCCCAATAGTAGATGGAACTGGGATCGTCAATGCGATTGCCCAAGCGATGAATAATCTTCGAAGGCGACCATATAGTTCCCTGGGATTTCTGCTCTTCCAGCATTTCGTCAAGTAGCGGCATGACCCAGTCCTCGAATTTGCAGTAATTATCATTTGGCACCAGCAGGTTGCCAATTCTGTTGATTCCCCGCTCGCGGAGATCCCTGCCGCTCAGCTCAAATGAGCCCATGAATGTGGGAGCCAAGCACTTAATGAAATCCTCCTCGACGCCGCCGGCTGTGGTCACAATGCAGTCGATCATACGATGCTCTGCCAGAAAGCGAATGGTCTCCCGCAGGCCCGATGAAACCAAGTTGGATGTGTAGCCCAAAAATACGGTGCACTTGCTCCTTCGACGGATGAAGTCGTCTGTTTCATGGCTGTCTATTTGATCCGCTTCCAGAGGCTGGTCCCTGCAATCCAGCTGCCAGTGTTAGGGGTTTGTAACATATCGGACTTGAGTATTTAAGTTACTAACTAACCATTCTGTTGATCTCCCGAATGGCCAGGCCAAGATTCGTGGCCTGAAACCCGGTGTTCACATATGACTCGAAAAGCTTACTGTAGTTTAAGCCGTCGTTGAAATCATAGCCACTAACTTGGGGCGTGTTCTCCGCCAGGGCCTCGCTGCGCTTCAGCACTGCATCCTTGGCCACCGCTGGCTCCGTCGACATGGTCAGGAATTCTTGAAATTCAAAATAAACAGCTCAAAGGGAGCCAAATCTTGCTGCATTTATCAACATGTGCTGGTTATGGCAGCCCTGGTGTCGGATAGAGATGGCGTTTGCAAAGTAGCTAACTAGTTGCAGAAGGCTTGAATCCGAAATCCGTTTACCAGCACTACGCAACTATCGGCCAAACAGTTATCGGGTGCAACCATCGATTACTCACACATATCGCTTGGCAGAAACAAGGAAAGGAAAGAAAGCAGATTTATTGTAAACGGTAGGCCAAACATTCAGTGAAACAATTGCCTGAAAACCACAGATATTTTAAACAATGCACCCTGTCCCATAAGCAACAGAAGGCCCCCAAAGAGCAATACTTTCGAGCGCAGCCAAACACAGAAGACGAAACGCCAGCGAGACGAGGACGCCAAGATGATTAAACTATTCACGCTTAAGCAGCAGAAGAAAGACGGCGAGCAAAAGGGCAGCCAGCAGAAGAAGGCGTCCGCCGCCCAGCTGCGCATACAGAAAGGTAATATCCAGCACCTGGTATGGCCAACTCGCTCTTATTACTTATACCTCTTGGGATGCTTCCATTCACCCCCAGATATTAACGAACTGAACCTGCCAAACACTTGCGCCACAGACTTTCCCGATCCCGATGACTTGCTCAACTTCAAGCTTATCATCTCGCCCGACGAGGGCTTCTACAGAGACGGGCGCTTCGTGTTCAATTTCCGCGTCGGATCCAACTATCCGCACGAGCCGCCCAAGGTGAAGTGCGCCACCCAGGTGTACCATCCCAATATTGACCTGGAGGGCAACGTTTGCCTCAACATTCTGCGCGAGGACTGGAATCCAGTGCTGAACATCAACTCAATCGTCTATGGCTTGCAGTTTCTGTTTTTGGTTTGTACTTACCATTGGACATTTTTTAGATTTTTCATTTCTTGTTTTGTATTAGCTGGAAACATTTAATTCCTTATTGTGCCCCAAAATGTTACGAAAACAAAAAAAAAAACATAAAATACTCATTGGTACCGTTTAACGATCTATAAAACATTTCTAAAATTACTTGTGACTTCACAACACAACAGTCTTACTAATCGAAATCAACTGCTTGCAGGAACCCAATCCCGAGGATCCGCTCAACAAGGAGGCGGCCGACGTCCTGCAGACCAATCGCCGTCAGTTCGAGAGCAATGTAAAGAAGGCGATGCGTGGAGGCTGTGTGGGCGAGACCTACTTCGAGTGCTGTCTGCTCAAGTGATATAGGGAATCCCAAGGTCTCTTACTTTAAGCCTGTCCATACACCCCTCCCAACATCCGCTAACTGAAGAAGATGATGCAAACACAGACGAAAATCGGCGACAACAAATTATTGTAATAAACTAATGCAAAATCCACTGCGTGCGAAGAAGAAGCCGAGTCAAGTCACCAATGTCTAGTTTTTAATACAATTCATTTAGCAATTTCGCCCACCCGTCTCTTAATCTTAATCGGTACACCCAAAGTGGCTATCCTCGAAATCCCTCACAGGTGAATGCTGTGCCTGGCCATCTGCATATTTCGCCACAGGCACAGATCAGACACAGCTGACAATCTTCCTGCCTGGAGTCGCAGATCGTATAGTCTGCTGATGAGACCCACTTTTATGTCGTCAGTGACCAAAACTTTCAGGAGCTGTTGCACCAATCCGTTGGGGAGCAAGCGCAGGACGGGAGCCACCCTCTCACCACCACATTCAACCAGCAGCGAGATGAACTGATAAACAAACACGGCCTTTGGCGACAGTTCATCTCCACTAACAAACTGCAGGAATACTCCGAAAATGTGCTGTACGCTTGTCTGCAGTGGTTCTCTTAGAGTAAGTGGCGTAGTCCGCAGTTCAGATGTGGAACTAGATCCCAATAATGCTGCCAAGCCAGCTCCGGTCGTAGTATCCGTAAAGTCGCTGGAGTTATCGCTGCCATCGCCAATCACCTTCCGCACTTTGGCTGCATTGGCCGCCAGTTCCTCCTCATCGTGAGATCTCGATCGCTTCTTCATGGCCGTCAAAGCGGAGGTGGCATTTCCTTTGCGGCTTTCCAGGCAGGAAATAATGCAGTACACACAGAGGCGGGCCAGTACCAGGGATTGGGGCTCGTTAATGTCCTCACTAGAAAAAAAAAAAAACAAAGATTGCCAAATTGTGAGAGCAGTTCTAAATAGCAGTTTAAAATTTTACATATTTTCTTGATAGATCGATTCAATTTGTAGATATAAATAAAATAAAGTAATATACAGAAAAAATATTGGTATTTACCCTTGTCGTCGCAGTATTAGTGGAGCCACCACGTACTGCAGCAACGCCTCCGTGGTCTTCTCAATGTCGAGGTGCATTACGGCAAAAACTACATCCATTGTTCGGGACATATCCCTTGTGTACTTGCAGGCCAGAAGTTGTTCCACCAACTGCGTGGACAGCCACGCCGCTCCGCCGGCCAGCAGAAGCGACTCTAGTGACTGAGCGGCGCGAACGGGCAGGTGACCAGCATCGACTACAGTTCGCCACACATCCCGGAACTGCTCGACCAGCGGGGAATGTGAAATGAGGCGGGATTTGGTACTTGGAGCAGGATGCACATCGTGCTGCATTTTTCTGATGATCTGATAGGACAGAGCTAGTCGCTCCTTGGCGTTTTCCTGGCTGGAAAGTTCTTCGCAGGTCAATGGCGCCAGGAACTGCTGTATCATGTTCAGTGGCTTTAGCAGTTCCGTTTCCTTCACCGAATACATGTAGGCGCACAGAAAACTAGTGGCGCAAACGGAAAAGCTAAAAAGTCTCCTCTTAATATTGTCCAGAATACTTTTAACGTCTGCCGATGATAGCGTCTCCTGCTCCCAAGCTATTAGCACATGGTGGAGCACTCCGGGCAGATTAAGGCAAGTCTCCTGCCAACTTAAGTTGTTTGGCTTCAGTTGTGCTGCCTCTGGTTTACTGAAACTAAGCAAAAGCTCATCCACAATACTGTCTTCACAGAGAGCGAGAATTTGACGCGGGTTTTTAAGCTTATTCCTTTCCACCATGCATTCACGCACCCATTTCTCAAAAAATGAGTCACCACGCTCAGATAAAACCACCTGAAATGAACAAGAATTCATTAAAATTGCAGTGAAATACTTAAGTTAGATGGGTTTACATACATCGGAACCATAGGTCTGCACAATGCTAGTCAGCATCAGGAAGGAAACATCAAACAGTGTGGACCGGCTGACGCACATCTTGCCCAACTCGCCCGGCACTGGCTTTGAGTTTTCATTGCACTGGATTAGACGAGATACGAATGTCTTGAGACGTCCCTCGACGGTAGCCACTGAAAGAATCAACTCAAAGCTGTTGCCCACCGGCACCTGGCAGAGGACATTCACCATGTCCTGCACCTTGTTGGTGCACAACGTCTTTAGTACTCCGGAAAGCGGAACTTCTGCACGCTTAATGAAGTTTATATTGGACGGTGTCTGTTGGCCATTGTCGCATTTTTGGAGTAACTGAGAGGCGGTTTCCCTGGAAGAGTTCGTTTTAAATTTCAATTAAGATAAGTGTACAAAATACATGATCTCTCCACTAACCTTTGACTGGCGAACTTTTTTACGTGGACATCATTGACTAGTTGTTGCTTGGTCCAGTCATTTAAAAGGAACTCGATCATATTGCACGAGCACTTGGTATCCATAAAGTCCAGCAGCAGGTTGTCCTCGATGAGCAGTTCCAAAGCCTCCACCAACTCGGGTATGTAATCGGCCGGTGGTGGTTGCTCACCGGGAATCCGCTGAAGGGCGTGCAATTGCTTAATGATGTGCGGCATTTTAAAAAACATAAAGGCACCCCACATAGTGTCAGGACTTGTATCCGCAACATTGCTTAGCGTGAGGAATCCAGCACGGATTATTTCGTAGAACAGTCGTGTGTTTGAGTATTTTTTTAATCGTTGCAGCATCTGCAACTCAGCCACGTAGTAGCTTGTGTCCTTGCACGGATTGAGCAGCACTTCCACCGCCAGTAAGGGTTGCACGCAGCACGAGATCTTCTCGAGTGTTGACGCCGGATTCAGTTGCTGCATTTCAAGATGCTTGGCTTCGATGTAGGCCAATTGCTGCAATTGCTGTTCAGCTTGCGGTGCGTTTAGCGTGAAATTTGAGTTAGTCAACGACCCCTTTATGGTAGCGTACTTATCCCGAATCCGTCCACATATTTCGAGCTCTTCGTGGCAGCCCACGTACAGCATAGAGAGCAGAAACTGCTGCTGGCTTAGCCGATCTATCACCACGCAGGTCTGGTCCAGCATATATGATTGCTCAGCGCTAATCTCGCCATACAGTTCATAATGTTGAACAGTTCTGGCGAAGATTTGAAGCAGCCAGTACACCAAGTGGACGACGGAACTCGGTAAAACCGCTTCTTCAGATTTTATTCTGGAAAAAAGAATGAGCAATTATTTTTACTCTTGCTTATTGCAGAAATATAGAACAAAAAGTACTTACCGGCAGGTAACGCCATCCACAATGCTGGCCAGGAATTCAAGGAGCGCTGTAATGCAATACACGCGCTCCAATTTGTCATACTTAGCAATGCACCGAAGGACAGCAGCGTGAGAAACGAGATGGGCGCACAGTGAGTGCTTCAGGTAGTTCAGCACCAACTAAACAGAATTAATTACAATTAAGAAAGCAAACTAAATAATTACATCAACTACCCACTGGATTTGCTGTGGAACCAATGAGTGCCTGCTGCATCAGACAGTCCGCCAAATTGTACACATCTCCACTGACTCCTCTTGGCAGCACCTGAAATAGTAATCAAGGGAAGGAGGATACGTTAGATCGCATGGCAGACAATGAAACATTTGTCAAACTTTCACACAATATCTGGGTCACAATCCCATAAAATAACCAGAAATAATACAACTTAAAAATCTAGTTAGGATTTTCACTTATATATTTAAGACACACGGTTGCATACTTCGTTACGCGATAAAAAAATGTTTCGTTTAAAAGTATTTCGCAGTCCCGGAGACCTATTAAGCACTTTAATCTGCGGAGCGACAACCGAGAGCTGCAGGAGCACGGCAATATCTTGCCTGGAGTTGCAACGTTCTCCCACGGTCGCCGCCTGCTGGATCTGGATGCGGTTGATTAGTCAATATCAGTTCAGGACCACAAAACCGGCCTACTATCCAGATCGCCAGCGGGAGGCGAAGCGAAATGCAGCGGGAGCCGCGCCTCAACAGGTGTCATCTCCGGCCGTTAAGGCCTCTCAAAGCCGAGGCATGCCCAAGGACTACTACTACAAAGTATTGGGCGTCAACAGGCACGCCACCATCCAGCAGATCAGATCAGCCTTCTATGCGCTAGCCAAGCGTTATCATCCCGACTCCACGCACTCGGAACAAAAGCTGAAGCACTTCCAGGAGCTGTCCAACGCGTACAACATCCTAACGGACGAGACGAAACGTTTGGAGTACGATCAGCTGGGCGGGATTAAGGATGAGCGCGCTTTTCTCGAACAGGCGGGCAATCCCATGAATGTGAGCACCGAGGAGGTCAAGAAGTTCGATTCGGATAAGACGGTAAATGACGGTAAGCAAGGCGATTTTATCACGCCCCATTTGGGAATTGAGGTGAATTCACTATTACAATTGCTTTGATTTGAACACGATGCCTTCAAATGCCTTTTAGAGATAAACAAACTGAAGACCAACGAGTTCGATCTTCCACTTGAATTCCTTGAAGCGGCAGTGGGATGCAAGAAGCGGATAGAGCTGCGCTACCTGCGGAAGTGCGAGACCTGCAAGGGCAAGTCCCAACTGATGGCGCATCGGGATGTGGGCAAGGAGCCCTGCCGGCGATGCAATGGAACTGGAAAGGTAACGACCAAAACGCCAACCTTCACATCAGTGAACACTTGCACGCAGTGCAAAGGCAAGCGGTTCACGAATCGCAACGACTGCGAAACCTGTTCGAATCGGGGCTTTGTGATTTCCAGCGTGGACGTTATGGTCTCGGTGCCTTCCGGATCCCGGGACGGAGATGTGGTGAACCTTATTAATCCGGAAACCAAGCAGCAGGTCACCTACCGCTTGACGGTTCCATGTAGCGACTATTTCCGTCGCGTTGGAAATGACATTCTAACCGACAAGCACCTAAACATCTCGGAGGCCATCCTGGGCGGATCCTTTCAGATACGGAGTCTGTACGAAAGCGTGGAACTGCGGGTGGAGCCTGGCACCCAATCCCATACCCAAGTGGTGCTCAAGGGCAAGGGGGTACGCTCCAACGAGGGCGTGGGTAACCACATCGTCACGCTAAAGGTGCGCATTCCGCGAAATCTATCCGTAAAGCAACGCCAACTGGTTTTGGCCCTGTCCCAGGCAGAGGATCCGGTTTTCGAGCCCAAGACCAAAGGCACGGAGACGGGCAATTTGAGCCCCTAAAATTCTCAATGTACAGGCTTCATTGCGGTTACAATATATTGTTAAACACGAATATTGATTGTTTGGTGTTGATTTGCTTGGGTTGCCTTGCCTTTTTTATGTTGATGCCCCACTGGGAATCCGTCCAGCGCTCACGCCACGCCACATAGATGAGCTGGAGGATCTTGTTGTTCTCCTTCATCTCGCGCGTCCGTGGAAATAATATAACTATTCCTTTTCTCGTATTTCACGCAATTTATTTAATTTAAACCTATTATATTTCTTAGCACCGCCCAGTGTGACCGCGGAATCATTTATAAATTATACCGTCCGGCTAAGAAAAATATACTTTTTATACCAATTTCATTTTTGAAAATATACCAAAAATGATGTGACTCAAATTAGCGTCGATTAGTGAGCGGCTATATAAGAACGGTGGTATTTAATTCAAACCTATTATATTTCTTAGCACCGCCCAGTGTGACCGCGGAATCATTTATGAATTATACCTTCCGGCTAAGAAAAATATACTTTTTATACCAATTTCATTTTTGAAAATATACCAAAAATGATGTGACTCAAATTAGCGTCGATTAGTGAGCGGCTATATAAGAACGGTGGAAAATTAAGCATGGCAACGTTCATTATTTTCTTTTTTTTTTTGTTATTTGGAGTTGAATTCAAAAAAATAAAAATCCAAAAATGTTAGGTAAAGACAGATCTAACTATCTATATACGACATAAGTAATTAGAGGTCCTTACTATTTCAACTATTTGTCTAATATATAGTATATTGTAACGGTCATCCGTATGGTCACTCTGTTTTCAGGTTTCTGCGTTTGTTTGGCTTTTTCATCCGATCTTGAATTTTGGAAATAAGGTATATATTCAAAACCTAATTGATATTTGTGGGATCTGCGAGTGCTCCAGAAGCGGCTGCTTCCTTCCATATCATACGAACCTGATTTGCATCCTGTAAAAGCACCAAAACACAAGAATCTGGGTCGCACGTGTTTGGATGCTTATGGTGTCCAGATTGAAGGATTTAACGATTATAACGAATCGTTTACGTCATTACTTTCGAAACATGGACGCAAAGGAGCTGCAGCCTCCCGGCTCGGTGCGCGGAATGCAGGAGCTCCAAAGGGAGCAGTTCCGGAAGAGTGTTCAAGTTCCCCGATTACGTTTGCCCGAGTCTCAAGTGCAACGTGTGATGCCGCTGGTTAAAAAGTTCCTGCTCAAAATGGAGCACCTGCATCCTGTCCGAGCTGTGGACAACTTCCGCGAAATCTTGCTGCATCCAACGCCTGTCAAAAACTGGGAATCCCTGCCTACAGAGGATCTGCAAAAGCGAGAAGTAACCGCCGAGAACTTCTCCTTCGCCGACCTCGAGTTGAGCTATGAAAACTGGAGCGCTAATGAAATCCTGAAAAGCGTGCTGCCCACGGAGGAGGAGGGTCTCACCTCCTACTCTCGCATAGGCCACATTGCCCACCTCAATCTTCGGGACCATCTGCTGCCCTATAAACAGCTCATCGGTCAGGTGCTCCGCGATAAGCTGCCCAATTGCCGCACGGTAGTTAACAAAGCATCCTCCATTGACAACACCTATCGAAACTTCCAGCTGGAGCTGATCTGTGGGGACCCGGAATACCAGGTGGAAACCAAGGAGAACGGAGTCCCCTTCGAGTTTGACTTCTCCAAGGTTTACTGGAATCCCCGTCTCTCCACGGAGCACGAAAGGATTGTCAAACTGCTGAAATCGGACGATGTTCTGTATGATGTATTTGCTGGCGTGGGACCATTTAGTGTTCCTGCTGCCAAGAAGGGATGCCATGTCCTGGCCAATGATCTGAACCCTGAGAGTTTTCGCTGGCTGCAGCATAATGCCAAGAGAAATAAGTGCTTGCCCAATATACAAATGTGCAATAAAGATGGTAGGCAGTTTATAGTCGAGGAGCTACGGGAGGATCTGCTGAAGCGTCTGCGTACCACGGATACTACTACCTATGACATACATATTACAATGAATCTACCAGCAACGGCTGTAGAGTTCCTGGACGCATTTCGTGGTCTTTATAAGACAGAGGAGCTGGCACAGTTGCCTGAAAACGTATGCTATCCCACCGTTCATGTTTACTCATTTGCCAAGGGTGAGAACACCAAGGAATTAGTGCGTCAACTGGTGGAGAGCAATCTGGGAGCCAGTCTGGACGAGAACCTGCTCCATGGAATCAATTTTGTACGAAACGTTGCCCCGAACAAGGACATGTATAGAGTGTCCTTCAAGCTTTCACTAAACTTGCTAACCACTTTAAAGGAAGTTGAAATCACGAGAAAACGGTATGCAGAGGAGGAGCTGCAGGTCGCCACCAAAGTGAAATGTGTTTGATACAATAAATACAATAAAGTTGTAATTTCCAAACAATTAAAAAGAGTCTCCTATTATGCATACTTACAGATGGGTCGCAACAAGGCAAACACCAAGAAGGTGGCTCCTGGTGCCGCCAAGCCAAAGTCTCCGCTGAATAAGTCCAAGAAGGCCAAGAACGTGTTCAAAGTGGGCGACGGTAACAAGGGCAAGGGCAAGAAGCCCAAGGAAGTGCAGGGCAAGCTCAAGCAGGTTAGTGGATTAGGTCCTGCTGGAGAGATCCCCTTAACGTACATATATGCTTAATTTGCAGATCAAGGAATCTGTCAAAGCCAAGCAGGAGAAGGTGGACGCCAGCTTGAAGACTCTGCACAAGGATCTGGTGGTGAAGAAGCCAAAAGCCCCTGCGGCACCCATCAAGAACAACAAGAAGAAGGGGGCCAATGCTCAGAAAGTCTCCGACACACTAGGCAAACTCAAGTTTTAAGCAACTCCGCCGGAGACCACGTTTTTCCTTTAGATACATATACGTATTACGATAGATGTAGTTAGTCCCCATTAATTGTTAAAGACCTTGGTCCAATGTTCCCAGCATTAGCAAAGATTATCCAAAATATACGATAGCTATTCGGACAGTGATGGGAAGTGCTTAGCTCAGTGCTCAGAGATTATGTAGTCGAATACCTCTTGACCTTCCTTAAAGCTAGTATAAATTCAGACTTTCATTCCGTTAACAATCTGAAACACCTGATAAATCCATGGAATAGGCTTGAAATATAATAGTTAATCCCCAATTTATTTTTATAAATATTGTGCAACTCTTACCGTATGAGTGCGATGTACTTTACCTAGTTGGTATAGTAGTTATATATTGATTCCTTCCTAGGAATGGGTGGCTCCCCATCACTGTTTTATGGCAACCTAGACAACCACAGGTACAGTGTTAACTGGTGGCAAAACTGCACCTGGTATTACGGTGGGAGCAGCGGGAATTCCAGGTGCAGCAGTGGTGGCTTCTACCGTACCATTCACAACATTCCAGCCGAAGAGCTCTCGAATGATGCCATCCAACTGGACGGTATCAATACCCGCCTTCTGAAGCTCAGCCAGAACTTGTGTAGTTTCCACTGAATTCAGCCAGCGTTCATACATCACCCTCAAACCCTGTAATCTTGACCAGAACTGGGCGAATATTCCCTGCTGCAGGACCTTGGCATCGATGTGCGCCCGGATGGCATACAGTGGGAAGTAGAGCTGAACCTCGTTGAGGAATCCTTGCCAGCCAAATACGGTGCCGGACCAGTAGGGAAACTCGTTCAATAGACTCACTTTGAGCCTCTGCTCCTTCAACTCAAAGGAATCGCCCGAGGCCAGGAGCTGCTGGCTCGTCCACTGCAAAAAGAGGATGAGCTCCGGCTGGGAGAGCAAACGCCAGCGGGCCGTGACCGCGACATTGCTGTTGATGGTACGCACGAAGGCCTGGAACTGGGCATCGTTGATTAGGTAGCGCACCAAGAGCTGGTTCAAGGGTTTTGACTGGATCAGACGTTGGATTTCTTCCAGATCCTTTGATAGAGTAGGCGGTGGAGCCAAGGTGGCTGGCGGGGGCTGCGGAAACAGACCACCGGGTGGAGGCACCACCTGAGGCGACCACAGTGCCAGGGATCCACTGACCAGAGTGATCACGATCAGCCAGTCCAGAGCGATTGCCATGACTGACAGTGGAGCGAAAAACGACTACCAAAATGAAAGTCGCAGAAGCTTTTATATCCATTTCCCAAGATTTGCTATTGCTATCTACTGATAACGTCTTCCTAAATTTGGCGCAGCATTTCTGTTGACCATTGTCGTCATCTGATAAGCGCATTTCGATCTGTTTATGGGTCTACCCAATTTTAAATCCGCCACGGAAGTCAATATTTTGGGATAAACTGGCGGGTTGGTAAACATTTGCAAAGAAAGAATACGAATTTATAACATGCTAAGCTTTATTTTCAAAGTGAATCACCAACAATCCGGATGGACCACATAGAACCGCAAACAAACACTTCATAACATTAGGATCTACATAGCTCCTCATACATACACAAAGCAAACCAAAACTGGGGATATATAGGATTAATTTTTTTTCGATTTTTAGGGATGATAACTAATTGTTATCCTTCCGAAATGGACTTTGGAAAACCGACGATAAGAAATTATGTTGAGTGATATTCATGGGTGGGTTAATAAACTTTGGTTTTATCATAGTTCCCTACTCTGGTTCATAGATGTTGGTCGGACTTGGTGGTTAATGCCAAAGTAAGTGTTTCCTTATACTTATTTGCTAAAACCAGAGCAGGATTGCAGGGATTTTACGTATACAGATTCTAGTACGATGTACTCGGGGGAGGGGATACCTTCTTCTTTACCTTAAGACGTATAAATAAGTCGTATGTAATAAAAACTAACTTAACCGATAAACGCATGTGAGTGTGGGCAGGGGATGGGATGCCTAACTGGCTGGTCTAGCTACCATCCCCGGTGAACCTGCGGCGCACCCAACCGGGCACATAACCCCTCACTGCCTCGCCCAGCTGCCTGTAGATGATGAGGCCCAGAATGGGCAGGACCAGGCGTGCGTCCTTGAACAAGTACACATAGCAGGCGACCAGGAAGAGGACCAGGTCCGTGCAGTAGCTGAGAGCCGAGCGAACCTTCTCGTGGGCCTGCTCCTCCGACTGGAGGATGGCCAGAGTGGCTGCCTTCTGCAGCATGTCCC